CACACAATTGGCCTTTGCTTTGCAGCATAAGGATGCATGTCCATATTGGTGGCAGTTCTAGCATTGTATCGCACCTTTCTTCGCTCTTTGTGGTTCCAATTTAACTTTTAGATAACACACTGCTGTTATATTATAGATATCTTTTTCTTCCTTTGGCAGCCTGATTTTTAACAGGTTAGAAGTTTTGTTTCCTAATTTAAGGAAATGCCATTCGTACGGATGGACATAAGGACACGACGATGAAACACTTAACCGAGTCAAACAACGTCGGAATTACTTGGAAAATATGAAATTTATTAATATTTATTTGGTCATTTAATTATAAGGACATTACCTGTGATCCACTAGCCTGATGAGCCGCGGGCATTGATACATGAACTGCACAAACCTAAAGAAAAGCAATGAACAAAAAATGAATTTTATGAATGAAAAAAGGGAAACTTGAATTTTATTTTTGTAGTTACAACAAAACATTACAAAAGGAAAAACATAAATACAAAACAACTAAACACTCACTGTGTACATTTTTATTTTTTTTATGCAAACAAAACATATCTCAAAAAAAAAAAAAAAACCGGTACCAGTCTTTTTATGCGAAATCACTAAAACAAAAACAATTATTGATCACTCACGTATATTTTTCTCCACATTCTTTTTTTTTTATAATTATTATTTTATAATAATATTTAAATATATATATATTTAATATACTTGTATTTTTAAATGAAACAAAATTTATTCTTTGTAAGGAAGGAAATGTTCACATATTTTCAAGCTACATAGATTCAATATAAACAAGCAACAACAACAACACTATACTAGTAACTTCAAAAGACATTTTAGTTACACATCACAATACAATATGTTTAACACGCAACATATAATTTAATTTCACTCACTGTAAGAATTTTAATATAATCTAAAATAAAAGAGATTAATTTTATTTAATATATATATTATATTAAAATAACCCACAAGTAATACACCGCATCTGCATCGGTAACACACGGAATACATCTGAAATTATTATTACAATTAACAAAAAAATAAAGAAATGTATTTAATTAAGTGAAGAATATAGTTAAGTATTTGCACGCGTTAATAAATAGTGTTATACTGAATTGAAATATGTTTATTCAAAATATGTAGTTAACACAATTATAAAATTTTAATAACTTTCTTTAGTTAAAATAAATCTTAATCATTTTAGAACACAATTATAAATTTTTGGTAATAAATTTCTTTAGTAAATAAATTTTAATATTTTTAAATTTTTAATAAGTTTCTTTAATTAAATAAAATTTAATAATTTTAGAACACAATTATAAATTTCAACTAATTTTCTTTAATTAAATAAATTTTAATAAATTTTAGAACACAAAAAAGTTCACATGCACATATATCAACTTCGGTCTGACTATCAATACTTCCATAACAACAATCTACTTTATGCACACCATTAACTGTAGACTTAAAAGGATCACCATCTTTAAAAAACTGCAACTCACATAACATTATATTGTTATGTACAATTTACGTAAATCTTGCGGTATATATGACCCAGAGAAATCATGTATTTCTAACGTTAACAACGAACCGTCTGGAGCAATATAATCCATGACATGCATTTGTTCCTGGATTTTATCATGCTCCTCCTTATGTTTTTATGCAAATATTGCTTGATGATACACGTTTTTCCAGTTAGTCAACTTCCCATGAAGACGACTCGACGTTTTCATTAAAGCACATTAGGTTAGGTATAATTTCTGATAATTACATTCTGCATTTTAATTGTAAACATAATTTACAGCATAAACTAATATAAATACATCCGATATTGTTATGTATAATTTACGTAAATCTTGCGGTATATATGACCCAGAGAAATCATGTATTTCTAATATTAACAACGAACCGTCTGGAGCAATATAATCCATGACATGCATTTGTTTTCGGATCTTATCATGGTCCTCCTTATACTTTTTATGCAAATATTGCTTGATGATACACGTTTTTCCAGTTAGTCAACTTCCCATGAAGACGACTCGACGTTTTCATTAAAGCACATTAGGTTAGGTATAATTTCTGATAATTACATTCTGCATTTTAATTGTAAACATAATTTACAGCATAAACTAATATAAATACATCCGATATTGTTATGTATAATTTACGTAAATCTTGCGGTATATATGACCCAGAGAAATCATGTATTTCTAACATTAACAACGAACCGTCTGGAGCAATATAATCAATGACATGCATTTGTTTTCGGATTTTATCATGGTCCTCCTTATACTTTTTATGCAAATATTGCTTGATGATACACGTTTTTCCAGTTAGTCAACTTCCCATGAAGACGACTCGACGTTTTCATTAAAGCACATTAGGTTAGGTATAATTTCTGATAATTACATTCTGCATTTTAATTGTAAACATAATTTACAGCATAAACTAATATAAATACATCCGATATTGTTATGTATAATTTACGTAAATCTTGCGGTATATATGACCCAGAGAAATCATGTATTTCTAACGTTAACAACGAACCGTCTGGAGCAATATAATCAATGACATGTATTTGTTTTCGGATCTTATCATGGTCCTCCTTATACTTTTTATGCAAATATTGCTTGATGATACACGTTTTTCCATGAAGACGACATAATTTACAGCAATGTCTGTGGTTCTAGAATTTATAATGTCGACATCTTAAGGTATATATATTTTGGAAGATACTTATATTGTAGTCTTATCTGAGTAATGGTGGAGGCCATAAAAGGATATATAAAAAGACGGCAATGTTTGTGGTTCTGGAATTTATAATGTTGACGTCTCAAGGCATAATAGTTTGTGTGTACTAATTCCACAGACTAGGATGTGAGATGTGGGCATAGTAGCCTTATTTTTATTTTATTTTATTTTTATTTTTATTTTTATTTTATTTTATCTTTATAATATGTGATCAACATGTATTTAATCTTTATTTAATAAATATGTAATTAATTACGCAATATGTATTTTAAATTTTCACAGTTATTTATTTAATATGTGACCAATATGTATTATTTTATTTATTTAATAATATGTAATTAATTATGCAATATGCTTTTAAATTTTCACAGTCTATTTATTTAATATATGTAATCAATTATACAATTATTTAATATATGTAATCAATTATACAATATTTTTGAACTTTTACAGTTTTTTATATATTTATTTAATATATGTAATCAATTATACAATTTTTGAATTTTTATATATTTCAATTTTGTGAGGAATATATAAGCATTCTAATAGGATAACTTATCAGTTATTTTTCAATAGATTTGCACTTAAAAAATATACAATATTTTGAACTTTTACAGTCTATTTAATTATTTTAATTTTGTGAGGAATATATAAGCATTCTAATAGGATAACTTATTAGTTATTTTTCAATAGATTTGCACTTATAAATGTATTTCTGTTTTTGAGTAACATATGCAAATTTGAGCATGTTTTATCTGTAGGTTGTTAAATACATATAAAGTGTGATATGCTTGTTCAAGACATTAATTTGATACTTATATTAGAATTGTTCAATAACTTGTACTTTAAAATGTATTTCTGTTTAAGTAACATGTGCAAGTTTAAACTTGTGTATTTGTAAATTGTTAAGTACATGTATATAAATGTTTTTTATGTGTAATATGCATATTTCTAGATACTGATATTTGACTCTTCATAAGATTTTATATGAGATATGAGTTACAAGATATGAGATGAGTTACAAGATATAACAATAGGTAATTATATACATTAATGTTTTCTAATACTTAATAGGATAAGTAGTTTACAATGTTGGTTATTACATCTATTTGGAAGTATTAATATGACGTTTGCGTTGCTTTTGTTGCTGGATAGGTAAAGTTGTTGGTATTTTCTCCAAGTATGCCCTTAATCCTTGGGCTAGAAAACGTGGGATTATATTATAATTCTGTGAACTATTCCACTCTATGCCCATTGACCGATATATTTGTTGATAGACATATAATTGGTCTTGTAATTGCATATCAGTATTAATTGGTAATTTGACATAGCGTGTTACTCCTTTGTGCTGATATAAGCCCATATGGATTGAAATAGGTGATTTTGAATCCCGACATATATCTTCTATGAGTTCATTGGGATTACCTTTACCGGTACAAAAGAATCCTATTCCGCATGTTTGGCAACTGACCATCAGTATATGATGCCGTAGAGGTATTGCTGTTGTAGAGGAGGAAATAGATCGTAGAGACATATTCAATTTGGTGTATAACGTTTCAGAGCGTGAGAAAGGTTGAATCTCCTCATGAAAGATATTTGCTGTTTGCATAAGTAATTTGGATATCTCGTCGCAACTGAAAACAAGACTTCTTCTATATCGACGTGGATGTGGTTGCCTAGCTTGTAAGCCAGGATAAGATGGGTTTTCTATATATTTTGTTATTAATTGATAACGCGCGTAAGTTGGTTTCTGGATATATCTAGAATTCTGATGCATATAAGATATTGAAATATGTTGCAACACATTTTGAAGCAATGCGTAAGGATATCCATTTAACAATATTTGGGTTATGCAATTATTTAGATCCTGTTCTAAATATTCTATGCTGGTTCTATAGATAACATGCCGTAAATGATAGAGTATAGCTGATCTTTTAACTTGATATGTGGTATGAGATGTATAATGCAGCATCCTCATTGATTGGTGTTCTTTCCGATATAAGGATATTAGATATCCAGAGGGCGCATGTATAATATTGTAATCCAAATAAGATATAGTAGGATAATTGTTAAATAACGGATTTTCGGCCTCTATTTCATATGTGACTTCATAACCCACTAAATCCTGGAATGTGTCCATAAAAGAAGATACATCGTGTCGTGACATATATAACAGAACATCATCGACATATTTCCACCAAGAATGTACTTTATGCCTGTGAAATAAAGCTGGAGTATGTATCTCTATTTGGGAATCCAGATGAATGGTTGCCAGGATTCCAGAGGCTGCACCCCCTGTGGCAACCCTTCTGCCTGCTTATAACATCTATCTTCAAAGGTGAAATAGTTAGCGGTATTCAATATATATTCTAATGCCATATTAAGCATAGATATAGGAATAGGACAGGACTCAAGGAACCATGGCAAACACATAAGATTCTTCAATGTGCGCCAGAGAGATGTGATACTGGTTCTTGGATACATGTCTCTTATGTCCAAGGACACGAATACATAGCCTGGCAAATGCTGAAGATGCAATATATGCCCGGTTAAATAGCTCATATTGATCAAATTATGAGAGGACATGCGGTTTGACAGGGTTTTCTTCAATACATAATGTACTAATTGGTGAAGTGGATGGATATACCAACCTATTGGACTGCATATGGGCCTCATGGGTTGTTCCTTCTTGTGCAGTTTTACAGTACCATAGAGATATGGTAAGGTAGGATTGTTTTTGGTCAGTAATTGCTGCAAGCTAACTAGTAGACTTTTCGGGAATGATGTTGGTTTCTGCTGATACCATCTAATAAGCGGCTTAACTGTTTTTCTGTAATTTGCAGCTAAATAATTAAATAAAACCTGTCGATTTTCTGTATTCAATACATAAGATCCTATCTCCAAATTATGATTTATCCACACATGCATCTTTTGAATATATTCCGGTTTTTTCATCAAGCAGGTAGAATGGCCTTTATCTGCTTGAACTATTATTAAATCTTTTTGTGAATCTAAGTACTCGGAGGTATACTTATATAATTGAAACAATATCTTTTGAGTTTGAGTTTGTTGTGGCTCCTGATAATCCTCTATGATTCTCAAAAATTGGGCATAATGTAGCTGCATTTCTAATGGACTTTGATAGTCTAAATTTATGCACTGATCTTGGTACATTTCATTGTAACTATCCAATGCTAAGTAATAATCCTTGATGGTAGGTGTCTTAATAGGGCAATACCGTGGGCCGAAACTTAATAATATTTGTACTTCCTTAGGTACCAGGCGACCACTTAAGTTATGGAAACCTCCTGGTATTACCTTTGGATACAGTGTTGAGAAAAATACATTCTGGGGTAGCTGACCGCCATAGAAATTGCATGTATTTGTTTCATTTAGATTGACTTTATAGGCACTCATTTGCACGTCTGTCATTTCAATTGGATCAATGGTAATAGTTGGTAATAATTCAGATATTGTAGTGGAGGTTGATTGAAGAACAGCTGATGACTTAGGTTGAATAAATGTTGTGTCGGAGGTTTTGAAAATAACTGATGACTTAGGTTGAACAGATGTTAAGAGACCTAAGATAAGAAAATAATATTTGACTGTGTATATATTATTCACACATATATACCTTGGGGTTTATTTATGTTGAATAAAGGGTTGGAAATCTTAATATTTTTCAATGTCTCTGGCCGATCGATAGCCACATGGTTGTTATGTGAATCTTGATTGGTAATATTTACATACTGTAAGACTGAGGATGTAGGTTCTTCATCCATTTGTACAATAATTTGGCTGGGAGCCGTTCGTGTCTGGGCTTTTGGTTTTGCAGGCTTAACAAAAGTGGCTACTGCACATGGGCCTGGATCCAGGGATGTAATTGGGGAATTTAGAAAGGCTAAATAGAAGAACATGAATAATAACGTAATACATGTGGTTTGTTATACTCACAAGTCACGGTTGATGAAGGTTTTTTTGTCACGGTTTCAGGTTCGGGATTGGGTCCCATACACTGCACACTGATGGTAGATTCTACATCTTGCACTAAAGTGGCTAATATCATATCATCAGTTGAATCATCCAATAAAGACCTACTTTAGAGTTGTAAAATAGATTAGCGGTATCGACAATATTTATGTATAATGCTTATTTAATCTAGTTAATCATAAATATAAATTTATCAATAGTCTTCATTTCTTAATATCAACTTACGTTAGAGAGATAGATGCCAAATCGTCCGTATCCATAGGGGACCTAAATGTGAAATAAACAATTTATCAACAATCTAAATTAATTAGGAATAAGTAATAGTTTTCATTTTTAAGATCAACTTACGCTAGGGAGATAGGAACCATATCGTCTGTATCCATAGGGAATAAATGCAAAATAGACAATTCACCAATACTGTAACTATGTAGGATAGCATTGCTAATTGTTATACAAAATATCTATCTATTTCAATTTATTCCTTTAAGTAACTAATTTATTCATTTATTATTTATTTACTCACTTATCTAATTTAATTAACTGATTCTATTATTTATTCACTTATTATTTATTCATTTAATTTAATTATTATTATTATTTATTACTAATTTAAGTCATCATTTATATGGGTTGAAGTGTGTTGGATTCTGTTCCATGTATTAGCTGAAGACACATTTTTGGCACATATTTATGATTGGTGTAACTGACTAGGCTAAATAATATTGCTAGAATGTTGCACTAAGTGTCTATCTATTCATTTATTTAATTATCCTTTATCTTACTTACTAATTTAAGTCATCATTTATATGTGTTGAGGTGTGTTGGATTCTGTTCCATGTATTAGCTGAAGACACATTTTTAGTGCATATTTATGATTGGTGTAACTGACTAGGCTAAATGATATTGCTAGAACGTTGCACTAAGTGTCTGTCTAATTTAATTATTTATTTTGATTATTTATTTATTTATTTATCTATTTATTTAGTGATTTACTTATTTATATTTATTTATCATCTATTTACTTATGTATATATTTACTTATTTTAATTATTCATTTATCCATCCATTTAATTATTTTATTACTTATTATTAATTATCATTATCCATCCATTAGTTTTTTTATTGACTGTATTTTAAGTTATCGACTTTATGTGTGTTGAAGTGTTGGGGGGTAGTTATTTATTACTAATTTAAGTCATCATTTATATGGGTAGAAGTGTGTTGGATTCTGTTCCATGTATTAGCTGAAGTCACATTTTGGCGCATATTTATGATTGGTGTAACTGACTAGGCTAAATGATATTGCTAGAACGTTGCACTAAGTGTCTATCTATCTATTTAATTATTCATTTATTCATCTATTTAGTCATTTATTACTAATTTATTTAATTATTTATTTATTTTGATTATTTATTTACCTTTTAATTATTCATTTATTCATCTAATTAGTTATTTATTACTAAATTATTTAATAATTATTTATTCATTTGATTATTTATATATCTTTTATTTATTGATTTACTTATTTATGTTTATTTATCATCTATTTATTTACGTATTTAATTTTATTTATGAATTTATTTGTTTGATATTGATTATTAATTATTTTACAAAGGAATAACGGCATTTTCTGTATGTTCCTTTGCATGCATATGAATTTAACTAGGTCAATGCCAACCAATGTACACATCACTCTGTTCAGCTTTAATAGCTGAATTAAGAGTTTATATTTACTCACATACATATTCTTACACACATTTATGATCACTATGCTTATAAAAAGGAAAGAGATTCTAGCAGGCGATTTTGGCAAGAGATGAACAAGAGATATTAACAGTAGAGTAGGTTGTACTTGCATACATTTGTATTTTCTTACACACATTTACATACATTTATGATCACTATGCGTATAATAAAAGGAGATTCTAGTAGAAGATTTGGCAAAAATGTGAACAAGAGATATTAAAAATAAAGAAGGTTGTTTGCTTATTATATTTTATATTTTATATTTTTGTTTCACATGTATGCATGTAAAAGGCTATATTTTATATTTGTTTCACATGTATGCATGTGAAAAAGTGATATTTTTAACAAGAGAATAGATGGTAACAATATGTAGAAAGGGGTATGCATGTAAAAAAGTGATTTTAACAAGAGAGGAGATGGCAGCAATGCATGTAGTAAGAAATATGGGCATGTAAAAAAGTGATTTTAACAAGAGAGGAGATGGCAGCAATGCATGTAGTAAGAAATATGGACAAGTGAAGAGACAATAATAATAACAATAAAGGAGGTGCGTCTCCATACATTTGATAGTAAGAAATATGGACAAGTGAAGAAACAATAACAGTACAATTGCTAATCACCATGCATGCATAAAGAGATATTAATAAAGAGATATTATTAATAATAGGGAGAAGAATGGGAATATGTGCTAATACACACCTAGTATGTATCAGTAAGATCAAACCAAAGGTGTGGTTATAGTGTATACTTCTCACAAGAAATTTGAGTTGCGTGCGTAGCACGGGTGCGGAAGTTAAGTTATACGGTTATGACAATAATTTGTTAGAATTTGATTTAAGGTATATAGGTAAGATATAATGGGAAGTTGTACTTACAATAAATATATGTTTTGTTTATTTGGTCTGGTTTTTGATGTGAAATGCTTGCGACGTCTCGCAATGTCTTATGAGTCTGATGTTTGTATGGAAGTGGTGCCCTTTGAGTGTGGTGTTGAATTTGTGTGGGATATAGGCTCTTGGTTTCTGATTTTCTTCTTATTCTTCTTGTTTCTTCTTAGTTTTCTTAAGTTTTGTTATCTTTCTGTTCGGTTTAAGCTTTTTGTAGTGTTTTCAATGTTATATTAACAGGTCGCAATTATTGTTTAAATGCGCAATTTTTCAAAGGAATGATTTCAAGGTACATAATGGGAAGCGAACATGGAACATGATATAGCCTAGTATTATGAATATGATACATGATGTGACTATGTAACATGGTTTTGCATTAATTATGCTCGGAACGGAGTTTGCAAAAATAATGGCTATACAAGCGTCTTGTTTTTTGCAATTATATAAGTCATTTAAGGTGCAGTATATTAATAGCGGTATATACATATCTGGATTTGTAATTTAAGTTGGAGGAATGGTAAAAAGGCAATATAATAGTGATTACAAATGGTAATTCATACAGTTGGGAGGAATAACTGTAATAATGTGCTAATGCCTTTCATTTTAGGACAGCAATGGTGCAATGAGATAAGCATGAAAAATATAAATGGCAATATGCATGGCTTAAGGAAATAACTTTGATGGAATGTTGATTCTTAACGCATTTAGGAAGGCAATAGTGGAATGTCAGGATTATATTTATAAAAATAAATAAATATAAATTGGTTTTCTCGATATTTTATGATTTGCGGAGATATGTTGATGTGTTTTTGATCTTGTGACATTTTGCGCAAATAAGATGTTGTATGTATGGATATGCAGGTATACAGAATTTATGGGTGTAAATGCATGTAAGTATTTTAGTCATTTACTTTCACAGTTATTCCCATCACATTTATTCCCATAATTTTATTTTTATTATTTTTTTATTTTTCATTGGTTGCATCTTTATGATTAATATTTCAATTTTTATTTCATTGGTTGCATCTTTATGATTAATATTTCAATATTTCAATATTTATTTTAATGGTTGATTTCAATTGGTTTATTTAATGGTTAGTCTTCAACTATATTTTCAATGGTTCTTTTTCGCCTTTTATTATTTTTCATTGGTTGTATCTTTATGATTAATATTTCAATATTTATTTTAGTGGATGATTAATATTTCAATATTTATTTTAGTGGTTGATTTCAATTGGTTATTTAATGGTTGGTTTTTAATGGTTAGTCTTCAACTATATTTTCAATGGTTCTTTTTTCGCCTTTAATTGTTATTTTAATTGATAAGTTTCAAGGTTTAATTTAATAGTTTTCAATGTTTTAATTATTTTAAGGGTTAGTTTTTAATTCTATTAATGTTTTTAATTCTATTAATGTCTTATTTATTCTATTAATGTCCTATTAATGTTTATTTTAATAATAATAATAATTTTTAATAATATTATTTTAAGGGTTAGTTTCATTTCCATTAATGTTCTTTAATAATTTTCAGTAGTCACATTTAAGATTAGTGTTTCAGTATTTAATTTAGCGGTATAGTTTACAATTGTATTTTAATTTGGTCATTTAATGGTCAGTTTAATATGTTGTTAAGGTCTTTATTTATAATTTAATTGTTGTGTTTATAATCTATTTCCATAATTTATATTTACTCTATAACCAGGTAGTTTATGTTAACATATAAGACGTACATATGACAAGCACAAGATATACTTTTGATTCATGCCACTCTGATGAGTCTGGGTAGTCCCCAGACGAAACGCGTCAGTGGGAACTATAGTGGACGGATGACGGATTCCAACACCAGTTTGGTGTTGTATAGGTTCTTCACATGTTTTTGGACAAATCTAACAACTTTGGACCAATCTAACATATTTACATTTATTATTACATTTATTATTATTATTACATTTATTATTACTACATTTATCATAACTACATTTATTATAATTACATTTATTATTACTACATTTATCATAACTACATTTATTATAATTACTTATTTATTTATTATTACTACATTTATTATTACTACATTTTATTATAACTACATTTTTATTATAACTATGTATAGATATATTCCATCGGTTATTTTGGGAGTGATATAGATAAAAAATGCAATCATGCAACTTTTGGGTGTAGACATGAGGATGCTTCTTCCATGTGTAGATATCATTGTATTATCTGCATATGGAGGCCAGTATCATTATGTATATGCTTATGGGCCTAATGTGCTTTTACGGAACGTTGGCATATTGGGTATTTGTGTGAAGTTTTCAGCATTATATTATGTATAATGTAGGGGCTTTACACATTCACGTTATATAATTTACATTTGATGTTTTTGTTAGATTATGGTGAGGTAGGTAGAGTACCCGTTATTGAACATTAGATGGAAATGTTTGTATTAACGGGGCA